TGCAAAAATTACTATGATAATTATGTGTATATGCTTGTTTATTCTCTCAGATTTTTCCCTCGATTTAAAGAAAATTTTCCTTTCATTATTTCCTGTCTGTTTTGTTGGTGCAGAACTTTCCCGACCTCCCTTATTTTTGGACCATGAAATTTTATTACGTAAAACATTTTCCGAAAAGGCAGTGATAGCCTTTAAAAGCATGAGGATACAACATTGCCAAATTAAATGTCTCGCTAAAGTGTACACAATTCGTCGTCGAGTATTCTCTCATCAACGCACCCATGGGGCCCATTAAATTACAATGTAGAACAAGCATTGCTCTATTCGCATCACATTTGCGCTAAAAGTAAATGATCTATTTTATTATGAGTTAAAAGCATTATCAAAACATTCTACGTTGTGGTAGCAAATAGTGTTAATGATTTTTGTGGGCTAGAAACTCTCAGTTTTTAATTTAATTTTGAAAAAAATCACTTTTATGAGAATGCTTTTCGTAATATTTTTTTTTTTGATCGTGGATTTGTAATTTTAGAAATATGACGACGAACACAATCTCAAAAGATTTGTTAATTTACTATTCTTCAACATGGAGTCCATCAGTTCGGCAAACGTTAAAGCTCTAGTGGCTCACTTCATACGACAATCTTAATATTTGATAGAATTTTTTTTAACCTTTATATCGGCTCAACTATGGCAGCTGTTAATCAAATGCAGTATTATTTTACATTTAAAAAAAAATCATAAAAATTCATATACATGAGGAGATTTTTGTTATTCGACTTCATATATCTCGGTACTTTATGAAGTGAGAAGATATTAATACCATCTTGAATAGTGAGAAGTAATAAATTATCAAAGGTGATGATAAAATGTCGTCTCCATAAAGGTTACTAATAGTGTCAATTTATAATATTATTACCATTGAAGATTCATTGTCGTCATAAAGCAATACTTTGTCACGGATAGTAAATGTGTCGACACTTGCTACAAATTGAATATGCAGCATATTATAAGTTGAGTTTTTCTTAAGAAAATAAAGTGTATCACATAATAAATGTTTTGTATGTATTTTAAAAAAATGAATAAGTACAGAAATAAAACATTTCTTTTTATAGAACAGAAAATAAGTTCAATCATAATTTGAAGAAAAAAAAAATCATTTAATGGAAAATTAAATATATCGCATGCAGATTTCAGGTAGCTACTTCATTACACGGTTGTGACATATTTAACAATTAATTTTTAAGTAAGAAGAACAAAAAGCACATTTTTACATTCATTAAAAACGTTTTTCATATACCTATGTATGTTCGTTCGTGCAATTAGACTTCTCTTTAGCGAGAAGCTACATTAGCATAAAATAAATTATGGTAGATGTGTAATTAAGGACATGTGTGAGTGTACTAAAGCACATTTTGCAGTGCCACAATGTGAATTTGATGAAAAGCAAAGGAGAAAATTATTTCACGTCATTTTAATGAGGTAAAAAGTTTTCAATTCCATTGTTGACGAATGAAAATTAACTGAGTGAAAAGAACTGCAATGACTCAGTGAATTCTTTTTCAATTGGAAAGTATTGTTGAATACATTTCTGTCACACATTGTTCATTAATGCATATTTTCCAGGTCCTTCATCTGTTTATATGTGAAAATCACAAAAGAAATGGAAACTATGCAAATGAATATGAAGGTTTAAAAGCATTTATGAGATTAATAAAAAAAAGATGCCACATAAAAAGTATCATTTATGTGCTGTCACTTTATTCACAATAAAAATTTTTTGTACAAAATTCAATTTTTTCTTTTTAGCGCATTTTTGAAACATGTTTCTAAAAGGTAGCTTAATATCTCACTATGTCTGTTCGTTCTAGCGGAGAAAAACTTTTTAACTAGACATCGTAGAGAGTTCTAGTTTGTTTTATTAGCTCAGGTCCATTGTTTTATTTTCGGGAAACGCATTTAAAAGTCTTGAAACAGTGTTTTTGTACTATAATTAATGATTTTTATATTTCATATGAAAAAACACGTGATGAGAGCGTTTAGAAATTCGAATTTATTTCTACCGTTGAAAAATTTTGAATCTCAAAAAACTGTTAAATTACCAAGCCTTTTTATATGAAAATTTTTTTTGCAACAGACTGTTATTTATACTATTATTTTTTATCACGATACTTTCAAATGCATACGACCGTTACAAAATTTGAACTTCAGAAAACCGTTAAATGATAAAAAATTTATATAGGAGAATGAAAGATATTAAATTGATAAATATATGGGGTAAACTATGTTGAAATTTGTGTGTTTTTGCACTTGAAGATTTCATTTGCTTATAACTTTTTAATACCTTACTGTAAAAATTTACGGTTGGTCTTAAATTATTAAAAATTGTTGGAATTTTCGTTTTTTAATACTTAGTGATGGTTATGCTGCTTATAGGAAGAGAAATTTGACATTTTTGGTCAAATGTTGAAATTTGTGCGGAAAATTTTAAAATTTGTGCGAAAAAATGTTGAAATTTGTGCGTTTTTTGACAGCAAGCATTGACACATTTCAATTCAGAAATGTAAACAAACAATATTTTTACGCATTTTCGAGGGTTTTAAATGGTGATTGCTTTTAAGGAATACTTCCAAATAAACTCCATTTCAATTTTAAAGTACACTGCTGCATTAATGAACTATTTTCAAGATTTCCAAATTTATTTATCATTATGTTTATCATTTATGTTGACTGAGTAAGACGAGAAGACACCATTAAAACCAAGCACATCCTTCAAATGTTTTTTTCCAAAATTTATTCACGATAACGTTTACAGAATTTTGCAAAATTGTTTTGAGAATTAAAAGAAAGAAGAGTATTTTAACGAAGTTTATTGTGTATCATCTATTTGGGACTGAAAACAGAACGTAGTTTTCAAATGCTTTTTTGTTCTTGTAATATTTTTTGAAGTTGGTTGCATTTTTGAAATTTCTTGATTCTGTATGAATATTTGAGTCGAACACATTTTTCATTACTCTCAGTTCATGTCTTCTTCGTGTTATTTTTGTCTTAATCTTGATTCATGCCTTTAAAAATCCGATTTTGATTGTAAATAATTATTTTTGTTGACAAAATGTGCCATTGCTTTCTACAACAAAAAAAACACAAATTTCAAAATTTGTCAAAAAATTTTGCACAAATTTTAACATTTGAAAACAACTTATTTTAAAATCAATTTTTGAAGGACTTCCAATGACTTTTCGTACGCAGAAACTTTTTTAATCGAAAAAGCAATAAAGAAAATTTGTTTTTCAACTCTGATGGGGTAAGAAGAATCATTAGATGTGTCCAAATAATTAAAAAGATGAAAACTTTCATTTTGTATAGGATTTTGAATAATTGAAATTTAAAGCTATAAGAACCTTCAACACAATCCAAAATGAAGTAGAAAAGTTTTAATAACTGCTTTACAAAGAACTGCATACACATTTTTTCTATAAATGGTTTAGTTTAGATGATTTACATTTCATTTGATTGCACATATTTCAACATGGTTTACCCTACTATAATTAATGATTTTTCGTATATCTTTTAGCGGGAAGCTTTCAAAAACTTACTGACCGTTAGAAAATTTGAATTTTAAATAATCGTTAAATGATAAACTTTTTATATGGAAATTCATTGGAACAAATTATTTAATTATACTATAAATAATGTTTTCGTAGTGCAACATTACCTCTTCAATTTCAAAATTTTTCTAGCCGTTGTAAAATTTGAATTACAAAAAACCGTTAAATGATAAACCTTTGCTGTATGGAAATTTATTGCTACAAATTATTAATTATACTATAGTTATTGTTTTTGAAGTGCAACTTTTAGCGGGAAAATTTCAAATTATTTTTTGACCGTTAAATAACAAAGCATTTCTGTATAAGCATTCATTGTAATTATTTGCTAATTGCACTAAAATTAATGATTTTCTAATCTTCTAATGATCTGTAAATGAACGCAAAATAAATTGATAATCAAATACTGATCGCTAACACAAAAATGCGCTTAAGTCCCTCGATCAATAACACGAGGACTTCTGTAATTTTTTTATTTAATGGATTATATTTAAGCTATGATTATTTTCAATCAAACATTATGTCTTTTCACAGCTTCTAGCAATTTGATCATATAGAATTTTCATTCTTGCATTCAATTTTGGCTGTCCCTTATCCGTTGTTTTCATAAAAATCGCATTTCTTTTACGTTCTGTAGAGTAAAGGAAGAGAAAAGTGGAAAATTATTGCCTTTATCATAAATACAATGAGAAAACGGAGAAAACACTCACTGGATGTTATCGAAAATTAAAAATCTTAACTTACTTTTCACTTGAAATGCCTTTTCCTTTTCTCTATGTGCGTTTTCCTTTACATCTTTTAGCTTCTTTGTCAATAATCTCGGATGTAAAACGTAATTGATTTTCTTATTGTCTTCTTTTTTGGAACTGTCATTTTTATTATTTTTGAAATTCATTTTTGATGACTTTTGTGCGTTCTTCTTAGGTCCAAAATCACGATTTTTCATTTTATTTTGATTAGGTTTTTTAAACTTTTCGTCACCTATTCATTAATATAAATGAAGCATTGTCATAAACTAGAGAAGAAGAAATAAATCTTAATAACTTGCCTTTTAATTTAGTTTTACTTTTAGCCATTCTTTCTTTTGAGGAAACTTTTCACGAGTTTGTTTACTTTTTTTGTAAACATACATCATTGACTGTGGATTGTTTGTGAGAGCTATGATTCCACCTTTACTATACCTTTATTATGTTGATAAAGCTTATTAAAATAATATCATTACTATTTAATAATGTTTACAATAGCATTTTGTTTAATTATATTAATAACAAAATTGAAAGAAAAGATCTTAAAATCTTGCATTCTCTTTCAAATTTTTCGCGCTCATGAAATCTTTCAAAATCCCTCTCTCAAAAATTGAGATTCTCTCATAATTTCTTTATAAACATTTCTGTCCAGAAATACTTGCAAGTTTTCTTCGTAAATTAAATTTTATTAGGTTTCATTACTAAGATGTTTATCAAACCGATAAAAGTTAAAAGCAATGTTCAGCTCAAAGGATCTGACATCAAAAAATTAAAAACAAGGCTGTCAAAACAATTTAAAATTGAAGAATCGGAATCATCACAAGTTTTTCCAAGTAAATCAAGTTTTAGTGCTGTAAAAATTATAACTCATGGTGAGCAACAAGTAACGGTTTACACAGTTGATAAGAGACCAATGTTGTTTGAAATGCAAGAAAGATTGTATCCAACTCTTTACACTATGTGGATTTTGCCGAGACTAGTTCCTTATTTTACTACTCATCCACAAGTTGTTCCTAGATTGTACAATGGAGCTGATCTCATGATGCCTGGTGTCGTTAAAGAAGGAAGTGATTTAAAGTCATTTGGTAGATTTCAAAAGGATGATATTGTGGCAATTAATCTCACATCAAATAGTTCAGCAATAGCTGTTGGAAGTTTAGCGAGATCAAGTGAGGATCTTTATATGGCAGGTGGACAAGGAATTTGTGTGAAAAGTTTGCACGTATTCGGAGATAAATTATGGGGAATGGAAGCAAGTATGACACAGCAAGTTCCTTTAAATGGACCTGTTTTAAAAGCGCCAAGTCTAAATAATCAACAAGATTTCCCATCTCTTGGAAGTGATCCTAGTCCTCAAGTTAATAAAGCTGTGCAGCAACTAGAAAACATTAATATTGAAAGCAGCACTGAAAGTGATAATGTTCAAGAACAAGTAGAAGAGGCAACTCATATTAATCCTGATGAAGTGCTGAAGAACATGTTTTTATCTGCATTAAAACTTAATCGAAAGGATATTTCAAATACTATGCCTATTTTGGTTGGAACGTTCTATCCTTTATATTTACAGAAACAAGTTCAACCAAATCCCGATAAGCCGATAACTGTCAAGGACACAAGCTACAAGAAACTTTCAACATTTATGAAGAAAATGAGTGATGATGGATTTATTGTTGTGCGTGAGGAAAATAAAGGTGTAGAAAAAATCATATCCATAAATTATGATCATCCGGAACTTATATCGCATATACCACAGAAACCAAATAATTCAGCAGATGACGCCAATAAAAATTCTGAAACTTCATCACATTTGTTACTTACAAAGATGACGGAATTGTACGTGGTAAATGATTCAACAAAAAAACTCTTCAACTCTCTTGGTGTTGCTGATGGAAAGGCTTTAGACAAAGTTGAAATTAAAAATTATGTGAAGGACTATGTTGCACGAAACAAATTGATTAATTCTCCAACAAAAGAAGTTGTATTGAATGATGTGCTAGTTGAAATTTGCATAGGAAACAGAGAGAATGAAGAACCGATATTAATGAAACTTGAAAATATCACAGCAATAGTCCAATCTCAAATGGATGAAACATTTGAAATGAGAAGTCAAGCTGGTGGGCAAGCTAAAGGAGGAAAGAGAGCAGTCATTCAAATAACTACAGCGACTCGAATGGGAAATAAAAAAGTTACTTTGGTTTCAAACTTGGAAAGTTTTGGCATAAACCTTGAAAGCTTTTCTAAAGCATGTAAAGTAGGAGTTCAAGCCTCTACAGCAATGACAAAAGTTCCAGGAACCAATATTAACCAGTTTCAAATTCAAGGCAATCATGTTAGATTCATTTATAATTTATTAACCGATACTTATAAAGTTCCTAAAAACGACATCACAGGATTAGAGTATGCAAAAAAAGAGAAAATAAAGAAGATAAAATAATAAGAACCAAACAATGTTTCAAAATCACCCCCCCCCCCCCCCTTGTTAAAATATGTTCCAACTCACAACACCCCCCCCCCCCCCCCCTGAAAGTTCATAATTTATTTTATTTTGATAATTTTTTATTCTAAAAAGACGGTTAAATTTCTTTTGTATTTTTTTTCAGAATACTAAACAGCTAAATAGGTCATGTTTTGATTGATACTATTAGTATTCTCATGAATTATTGGATTGAGATATAAAGCAAAAAAAATTTTTTTTTGAAGAAAATTCAAAAATATTATGCCCGATCGAATTTTGGAAAATTCAATCAACTTTGAATGTAAATATCACAATGATGGGATCATATTAATCATCATATGACTGACAGATTTAGACTTTTAAACTTATGATTGATTTAATTTTGAAAATTTCCACAAATTATGATTGTATTTTAAAGTCTTGTAAACCAGTTTTCTATTGATTTGTTACTTTATATAACAAAAACTATGTATTGCTTAGCAATCAAAAGTTTTTTTAAAAGACAGCCGACAATTAGAACGTTACGTACTTCTTAACCCCCCCTATGTTTCATTTTGTTACAATTTTTCAAACCCCCCCTCCCCCCTAAAATGCGAACGTAATAAGTGAACGGCCCCTTAGTTTTTCATTTTGCGGCACAAAAAGGATCAGGAAAAAATCTCCTAAGGCAATTTAAAAAAAATAATAATTTTATTTTAAAAACAGCAGTTCACAATGAAATTAATGACTTTATGTAAAGTTATTGAATATGACTGAATATGATTTTTAAATGAATTTTCCTAAATCACAGTTTATTTGGTCAATTAAATTTTTGTCTCTGTTCAAAATTAAATATGATTATTTATTCAGCTATGATTTATTAAACTTTAGATTAATTGATGAAAGTTAACAGACAATTGAAGCACAATATTGTATAAAATATCTCAATCTAAAAATCCCTAACATGCAGCTACCCTAAAATGCAGATAGTACTGCCAAGATGCAGATGGTGCTGCTAAAGTGCAGATGAAATTTATTTTCCCTAAAATGCAGATGAAATGCTGTTGCTTTAAAAAAGGTATAACGCAGATAATTTTTATCGTATAAAGTGCAGATAAGATGCTGCCTAAATGTAGATCGTATAATTTCATTGAAATACATCAATATTCGATGACTTTTTTTCTTGATGCGTGTTATTGACTTTAATTGATCCATGATGAAATTTAAGGGTAATTATTTTGTCTGACGACATATTTATGTATATATTGGGTCGAGTATCCTTTTTATGAGCTCATCTATATATCTTGCAAAAATTTTACATGTCGTTTAACAACAAAACTAGTGTATCGGGGAGAAACCCAATGCGAACATATTCGCACCGTACCATCAAAAGTCTTATGGATAGACAGAGTTTTGTTCAGCATAAGTTTGAAGGGATAAATCCTGACGAACCAGCTTTATATCTTCAAACATATGCTGAGCGAAGCTCAGCTGACTTTCTAGCTTTATATCTTCAAAGCGCAGCTTAGCATACGTTTGAAGGTATAAATCTAGCGTGTCAATTGAGCTTCTCTCAGTATATGTTTGAAGCTTTTAAACTTAACGAACATTCTTTAAAAGTTTTTTAAAATAAATTTCATCCAAAGTTTAATTTTATAAAAATCACAGTGAACTTTTGTTTTAAAACATTCGTAGGAAAGGAAAGTTTTTTGCTTTTTCTGAAGCAACGGCTGTTCCTACCTTGCCCAAAAACAATACAGCTCTTCTATAGAGCAGCACGGATCAAATGTATAAAACTAGAAGCCTCTACGAGGTCTCGTTATTGAGATTTCTTGCTTATTTGCTTACAGAAAGCGTATTTTGCGATTTTCTGAAATCTGATTTTTGCAAAAGATGTAAAATTTCAGGCACAAACTTTTCTTCTTAAACTTTTATAACCAATTTGCTTCGTTTTCTCACAAAATGCAAAAAACTGATTTTTCAATCTGAATAAAACCAATAGATTTACACGTGAAAACGGTGTGAATATAAAAAATACATTTGCAGATATATCAATGAAAGCTGACAAAGTTATAACAAAATTTATAAACATTATTCGTGAGTGACGCTTAATTAATGTGATTTTCCGACATAACTCCTTAACTTTAGAGATATTAAAGAAATCATGGCGTCACTAACGAATAATTTTTTTTCGTCGGGCCCAAATAATAAATATCCAACGGTAAATTATCTGCATTATAACAGCATTTCATATTTATTTTATTAAAACTATACGATCTTCATTTAGGCAGCATTTTATCTGTACTTTATACGATAAAAATTATCTGCATTATACCTTTTTCAAAGCAACAGCATTTCATCTGCATTTTAGGGAAAATAAATTTCATCTGCACTTTATCAGTACCATCTGCATCTTGGCAGTACTATCTGCATTATAGGGTAGCTGCATTTTAGGGATTTTTAAATTGAAGTGTATAAAATTGCAATTTGAACACTCTACAGAGCTCTGATACAAAAATTAAAATTATTAAGCATTAAAGATCCCCTTTGTTGAAAAAAAATTATTTCTTGGATACAAATTCCCTCACGATTATATATTTAAGTTTTCTCTCTAGATTTTTTTAAAAATTTACTGTTCTTAAATAACTAGTCTTTTTACTCAATCAAAATTTATCAACATCAATTTATAAATCATCATACATACATATTTGCATTTACATACATCATCGACTAGAGAATATTATAATACTTTAGGAATTTACGAATTAAATCACTAATGTTTCACAAAACAGTTTCCTTTTCATCCTTTTTTGTGACATTTGCTAGTTCGTTTGTGTGATTATCACGACGCTTCAAGCTTTCAGGAATTTCAAGTTCATCTATAAACTTCAATACTGTATCCCGAAGATTTTGAAGTACTAATACAGAAAAAAAATAATTAGTTTTGAACTCACAAAAACTTTTGATTCCTACCATTAGTCCTTCTTGACATGTTGATTAATTCCAGAGCAGCTTTATATAAGAAAGAATACTGCTCTTCACCCTGAACCATTTTCATTCTTTGTGAGCGCAATTGCTTCACTAAATCGAATATATTAATTTTTGCCTCTTTTTTTATTCTTTGCATCATGATATCAACTGCTATGAAAGTACCAGTTCTTCCAACACCCGCACTAGTGGATTTTTTAATAGAGCGATCATAATTTTTCTTCCATAGAAATAAAAAAATTACCTGCAATGGACAACAAAAGTTTCTCCAGATTTTTGTCTCTCATTCCGAATAACTTTCACAAATTCAATTAAATCTAAAGCATTGCTTGGACATTCATGATCAGGCCATTTACAGAAGTAATAATGATTCACACTTAGTTTCATATCGTTCTTAAATAGTTGATAAAACACAAAAAACAATTAATTAATTAAAATAATTAAAAAAAAGAAAAGCGCAAACCTTTTCCACAATTAATACTCTTTTTATGTAGGATGGAAAATTTTGTTCCTTTGCACATGTTATTGTGATGTTAGCACTTTTTAAATGCCCATTCAATCTTGGGAAATATTCATGACATTTAACTTTATTGTTTTCTACTAATGATGTTAACATCACAATTGACTCTATTCGATGCTGTAAAATCATTCTCCAAAAGTCTAAAACAGTATCTGGTTTTGGTCCCTGCGCAGCTATATACTCTTTTGGGTAGTAATACCCCTAATAATACAGTAAAGTAATAAATGAACGGAATGTTTTTATCAATTAATGACTTACATTTATATATGATGCATTAATATAGTCATTTTCAAACTCATCATCATTCAGCACCACTCGTGTTGAATCATATGGACAGATATTTGAATATCGATTTAATTTTTCATTTGCCCTTGATGCTATAAAAGTTCTATCTAAGTTTTCAGAAAAGTATTGAATAGCTTTATATTCTTCTTTTATCTTTTCATTATCACTCTTTGACATTACGATATGGTACGCCAAAAAATTCTGTACTGATATATCCTTTCGATCGTATGGTGAATCAAGAGCCGATTTCCTGTCAAAATAAAAAATAATATTGATATATTTTTGTTCGCAAATATAATTTGAAAGTATGGAAGCAAACCTTAATTCTTGCGTTCGACGACACGAAATATAGAAACCAATTAAAAATACCAGACATAATATTGATAAAATAATTATGGAAATAGCAACAATAGGAACTTCCTTATTTGTGGCAATCTTAAAGTATGCTGTATTTGCATATCCTGTTTCCGTATATAATTTGAAGGTCACACCATAAATTGTTCCAGGTTGCAATCTCCCATTACAACGGGAGTTTGGTTCACAATATGACTCAGTACCGATCCCTTCTACTTGCTTTTTATCTCTATCATTAAATAGTGTTATTCCTGTATCATATTCAGGTATGCATTTTTTACTCATAGCTTCTTCCCAAAATATATTTTTGTGTTGGTCATCTTGGTGATTGAAACCTTGTTTATAAGACATATCTGTGCAGTTCTAAATTAATCATCAAATTTTGTCTAAATTCTTTTGTTATTCGTAACCAATAAATGAGTTTCTTACCCATTGAAGGATGAAAATTCTGGCATGAGTAATTTTCCCCACATTTGAATCGAATAAGTTGTCGGAAATTGAAATGTATATCGAGGTAGTTGTCGATTCAGATGTAACTTCAATGTCTTCATTTAATTCTGGAACTAGAAGTTTAAAAAAAAATTAGTGAAATTTATGAAATTATTGAAAATCATTTATGGATAGCCTCTAAATCAAAACAAGATCACTAACTTCCAGCATTTAGTTTGAAATCTCTATAGATGTATTCTTTTCCTTTAATGCCACTTTTTTCATTAGCATATCCATAAATGGTGTAAAATATATCAGGTTCTAATTCATCGATTTTGAGATTAAAGTTATACTTTGCATCCTCTTTTTCATTTTTGTCATAAGGAATTGTTTTGTTGAATGTATTTTTACTTGATTTGAATTCAACTACAAATTCTTGTATTTCTCCATTTGCTCTGCATGGGTAATTAAAATCAATAAAAATTGTCTTATTATAGGCTTCGTAGAGCCGTATTTCATTATGATGAACATTGAACTCTTCGAGTATGTCCGAAGGACCTGCAAGCAAATTATAAGTATTAGCTTTAAATTTATAAATCAATTTTAATAAAAAGAATCTTATCAAATTATACCCGCTTTAGTGGTTTCGCTTTTAGAACTCGAAAAATCTCCATCAAAAGCTTGATTTGATGCACGAATATGAACGGTATAAGATGAACTTGGTAGTCCGGTTTTAAAGGTGTATGATAGATGAACAAGATTTTCAACCAAAATAGTTTTATTCTCACCAGTTACAGACTCTGTACAATAAGATGGGTTATCGTATTTAAATTTCTCAAACCTTATATAAACATGATACTGTTTGATTATTCCTTTTGGGCTAGTTGGTTCTTTCCATTTAATTGTAAATGAAGTTGAAGTAACGGTTCCTTGAGCAATTTCAACATTCGGAGCATTTGGAACTTGAATGTTTAATTAAAAAAAAAAACGAAATTAATTACGTAGTGCATTAATATATTTTCAATATTTCTACCTCCTTCTTTGGTCATAAAAGTTGTATTGTAACTCCAAATTGATTTTACTTGGTTTTCATTTTCAATTGATGCTTTACATGAGTAGTTGTGGAAAGGTTCTAATTTGTCGACTTCTACTATATTTGATGTGTTCGAAGCACTCTCTGTTTTATTACCAGTTTCAGTGGATGTGCATTCTACATAATATTTTACAATAGGACACTTATTTTTAGGGTCATTTGATGGAACCACAGTAAAGCTTAATGATTTGTCAGTTTGTTTATTAAGTTGAAGATTTTGAGTTTGAACAAATTGTCTTGGTTCTGTTTTTATAGAACTATTTATTGATGATTCAGATATATATTCTATAGCAGGCGAAATAGACACAGAAAATGTTGTAGTCTTGATTGTACTGGTTGTTGAAAATAACGTTGTTTCTGAATTTTCATCGTCAATTTCTGATGTACTGATACTAACCATTATAGTATAGTTAACGCAAGCATATACATCAGATAGTAAATAAACATTAGAAGTGGTGTTTCGAATAAATTCGTATTCAAAATCATTTTTTACGTAGATCATGTAACGGTCAATACATTTCGCCCCATATTCGGGTGCCATCCACGCAACATTAATTGAAGTTTTATCATCTTCCTGACTAAGAAGCAAATTTCGTATTTCTGATGGAATTATTCTTTTCATAGTATGTATGGCAGAAGTAATAATATTTTGATTATCTTTGATGTAAATAGTAACGTTAAATTCTTCGCAAGCTTGTAAATTTTTAAATGTATTCGTATATCCTTGAATTGTACTTTGATAGTTGTTGTTTTGTCCACGAGCCAAAACTTCGAAATTTTCCTTACACTCATTATTTTCATATTCCCATGTAATAACCATGTTTAAAGTTTTTGAACTATTTTCAATTTCTTCTTCATCTGTTATAGTAAGATTTTTAATCTCCGCATACTTTTTATAAGCGTCAAATGTTTTGTTAAATTTTGACGGTGTAGTAGAATTGATTATTTGAATTTCATAAAAATAAGTTGCACATGGAGTTAGAGACTCCAAAAAATTATATTTTAGATTATCAGCTTTGACTTCAAATAGTTGATTACAATTCACAATGCAATTTTTATTTGTAAGTGTTATGCTCACAATTGCTGTATCGCACATTTCAGAACCATTTGTTTCCCAAAATATTGTAAGATTATTGGTTTCATCTTTTATCTCGTAAGTAGCATTGCGAAGATTACAATCTGTTATGATAAAAAAAAGTTTTTAAAAGTACAGCAGATCTTAAATCATAATAAAAGCTTCCATTAAGATTATATTAGAAAATAAAAATCCAAACCAATGAATAAGAAAATTAAAGAACTGAATTAGGAAAAAAAAAACAATATAAGACCAATAACAACAATTAAATTATAAATAGTTTCGTAATTAAATTTCAAAACCAACAAAATGCTTTGATTAAGTGCTTCAAGAAGTGTGCGTGTGCAAATAAAACAAAAATTTCACAGATATGCAACAGGATTTTTCCGAAAGCAAAATTTTACTTAAAGTTTTCACAATTTCATTAGTTTAATTAAATTTGATATTTTATTTTAAAGTAGCACTCCAAATAAAGCAAGAAAGCACTTTAAACATATCATAACATTAATAATTTCAACCTGTGGTTGGTTTTGATTTCATGTCGATGTCCTTTTCCGAATATCTTTCTAATTCTGTTAAACCTTTTAATGACATAATGAATATAAAAGTAAGTTTTTAATTTTACAATGAAAATGTTTGGAGTTGTTTGCTTATGTCGTCCAAAATTTTGTCTCTTCCATAATATTTTAGCAGTTAATTCTTACCTGTAGCATTGGTTGTGAAAATTGAAGCTTCACTATATTGGGACCAATCCGTTTCTCCATGTTTAACTCTTGCTGAACATGAAAAATTTTGACGTGGTTCTAGATTTTCAATCAAAACAATATCTGTAGTACTATTTTTAGAAATACTTCCACTTTCGTTTGATTTGCATTCAACTTCATAAAAGATATCTTTGCATTCACTCTCTGGATCATTTAAAATTACTTTCAATGTTACAGTTGTGTCAGTGATGTTTATAAGTGCTGGCTCCTTTGGTTTTTGATATTTTAAAATCTCAGATATTTTCATGCTTATTAGATCCGATGAGTTGACAATTTGAATTTGGTAAGAGTAACTTATACATGGAGTTAAATTTTTTAAAAAGGTAAAGTTTAGACGATCGGCTTCAATTCGTTTTTCTTCATTACATGAAAGCTCTAAGCAATTTTGATTGATCAAAATTAAGTTTACAGTTGAAGAATTACATGATGATGAATCATTTAACTCCCATGATACAGTCAATTCGTTTAAATCGCTTATTTCATGAGATGTATTATTAAGTTTGCACTCATCTAAAACCAAAATTTAAAAAAAAATAGTCAAATTTTGTGACAAGTAGAGAAGAAGTTTAAAAACTGTTTTTTTTCGCGTTACGTATCCCTAATGTTCTTCAACCTACAATAGGTGAAAATAGGTTAAAATAATACAATTTTAATGACGCAAAAAAAATAATGTAGATTGAAACTTGCGGCAAGTTTCAGGAAATATATTCAATTATTTGTAAAAATTATATTATGAATTAATTAAAGAATTATAATTATTTACATACTCATTATAGGATTTTCATCGGTGGTGGTCGTTTGAATAGTTGAATCTTGTGAAATAGGGGTTGTTGTTTCTTCTGTGAACATAGTTTCTGTTGCTTCTTCTGTAATTGTTTCCAATACATCCTTTTGCTTATGGGTAATTGTTGTTGAAAAAACTGTTGAGCTATAGATTTCTGAATCTTTATCAGTCAAATTCAACTTTGTGAAAAATTCACTTGTTTTATCACTTTTATTTTCAGATTTATCAACTGTCAAACTTGGACTAGACACTTCATTATACAATTTCTTGGTATTTAATTCTGAAACATTAATAGTTGTTTCTTTCAATGCATCGCTTTCTGCCGATTTGAACGATTCTGTTGAGCGATTGATTACTGTTATTTCAGGAGAACTTTTTCCTTGTAAATCTGTAGATGATTTGTAATCACATTTTCCATCAATATGGTTGCTGCACACATCAACGCTTGCACATTTAATGTTTCTTGCAATTACAATAATTAAAGTGACTAATAATAATTTTCTTCTCATTTTGATAAGTTTTAATGTTATTTTTTAACTATGATTTATTAAAATATGACAAAACATTTCATTTTGTTTTATTCAATAACACAATTCACTATGTACTGTTGCTTTAATAATTTCCTTCCTTTTAATTCTCTTTTAATGGGAGAACGTAGATTAGGGATAAAATTCTTTATTAGATATCATAATTGTATTTGCTCTCATGTAATAAAAACAAAGGTTCAATATTTCACTCTGCGTAGTTGGTGTGACTATTTCATCGACAATAATCCAATCAATATAATTTTATATCTTATCACTTCAAAAGCTTTATTTATGAAATTATTGTCGCATTAAAACAGTATACAGCTCGTGATTTGTCCAGATAATATTTTTCAACAATTCTTTATCCTCAATATTTTGGTTTCAATTTAAAATTTCTTTCCATCACTAAACAATAGGTCTCAAAATAAAGTAGATCTTATAAAAATCAAGAATTTCTTCCCATTAAAATTTAACAGGAAAGTTTAAATCTTTTTTAACACTTCACTCATATCACCAGAGATCAAAGCCGATTTTTTCGGCTTAACTCAATTTTTGATTTTTTTGATAGAAAAAGCCGTTTAACACCCATTTTAAGGATTTAAATTGAACTTTACATGCTTTACTATGATTCGTGTAATTTTTTGTCAGCATGGAGCTATAGTAAGCTCTGAATTTCAATTTAGCCGATGTTAAGCTGAAATTTAAGCCGATCGGCTTGAAACTTGAAATTCTAAGCTCACTATAGCTCCATGCTGACAAAATATTACACAGAATCATACTAAAGCATGTAAAGTTCAAATTAAATACTTAAAAAGGGTTTTAAATGGCTTTTTTCTATCAAAAAAAAAATCAAAAATTGAGTTAAACCGAAAAAATCGGCTTCGATCTCTGCATATCACTTTTGTCACAGAAAATTTGCAAGGTTCTTCTTTTGATTTTGCGTAATTACTTCAATAAACTAATTAAATATATTTAGAAATTGATTATTTTTGAGGAAAGAATAATTAATAATCAATTTAAAATGCAAAATCAATCTTTTTTTTCTTTTCTGCTGATAAGGCACTGAGTCAAGTTCTCAAATTTCATTACGACTCGATCGATCAAACAGCAAGTTAAAACTAAAGTAGTCTGAACGATAGAAGTGAGAAACTGAAAAAAATATGAGTAATTTTTGATAAAAAAAATATAAATATGTGGAAGTTTTACTTATCACATTAATTTGTATGAAAACAGTAATTCTTTTATGAGTAATCTTAATCTGTAAATGTATTGATGTCTACCCACACTTGCATATAAAACTGATCACTGAAGTTAATATAGTACATTTTTAAATAAATATTTTTTTAAAAATAAGTTCATTTCGAGTATTATATATCTTTTGCAAAAAGGAGAAAAAATCGCAAAAAAGAAATATATCTCTGAATTTGGAGTCAAATTAGAATCTTAGTTGGATATACTAAAATGGATTTTTTTAACTCGCAAATGAGAACTTTAAAACTGATTTTTAAGAACAATTGCTCGTTATTTTCTTTCTCATACTATGTTTATATTTCCTTTATGTTCTATTTGATATACCTTTTATAAAAGACCCATTAAATTGCTTTTTTTGACAATTCATGTTCATTAATTTTAATTGGGAGCAAAAAATAAAAGCTCATTTCATGAAAGAACAAATGAATATCCTGATTTAAGGGTAATTCCATGAGAAATTTTTGTAAAAAATTTACTTAAAATTGATTTTTTTCATATTTAGGCTTTACAAAAGTTAATAAGATTTTCACAGTGCATGTAAAAAGTCATATGGTATATGATTTGACATTAATTTTCTATCTAAAGTGGTTAATTCGTCCAAAAAATTGATTCCATGAGCGTTACTTGGTAACGCTATAAATGTTACCAAGTAACGCTATAAAATATAATTTTTTGGACTTAATAATCACTTTAGATGACATTTTAATGTCAAATAACATACCTTATGGCTTTTAACATGTCCTGTGGAAATCTTATTAACTTTTGTTAAGGGTAATTCCATGCTATAATTTTGCTATAAAATTTTCTTTAAATTGATTTTTTTCATCCTTAGGCTTTACAAAAGTTAATAAGATTTCCACAGGACATGTAAAAAGTCATATGGTATATGATTTGACATTAATTTTCTATTTAAAGCAGTGTTGCATTCTGGCTATTTGTCTGGACCAGATAAATTCTGAGACAGAAATTTCTTCATAAAATCGATTCTACATGTAGAAAGAAAAAAACCATCTACATGTAGATTGTGTCTACATGTAGAATCTGTCTACATGTAGATTTAATGTAGATGTCTACGATTCTACATTCTTCTCTGATGTAGACCTGGAAAAAATGTAGAATTACAGACATCTACATCGAATCTACATGTAGACAGATTCTACATGTAGACACAATCTACATGTAGATGGTTTTTTTCTTTCTACATGTAGAATCGATCTTTATGAAGAAAGTTTCTTAGCTAGACAAAAACTATTGAAGAATCTACATTCTTCATCTAGTGTAGACATCTACATTTGCAACACTGATTTAAAGTGGTTAATTCGTCCAAAAAATTATATTTTATAGCGTTACTTGGTAACATTTATAGCGTTACCAAGTAACGCTCATGGAATCAATTTTTTGGACGAATTAACCACTTTAGATAGAAAATTAATGTCAAATCATATACCATATGACTTTTTACATGCACTGTGAAAATCTTATTAACTTTTGTAAAGCCTAAATATGAAAAAAATCAATTTTAAGTAAATTTTTTACAAAAATTTCTCATGGAATTACCCTTAAGCCTAAGGATGAAAAAAATCAATTTAAAGAAAATTTTATAGCAAAATTATAGCATGGAATTACCCTTAAGGGTAATTCCATGAGAAATTTTTGTAAAAAATTTACTTAAAATTGATTTTTTTCATATTTAGGCTTTACAAAAGTTAATAAGATTTTCACAGTGCATGTAAAAAGTCATATGGTATATGATTTGACATTAATTTTCTATCTAAAGTGGTTAATTCGTCCAAAAAATTGATTCCATGAGCGTTACTTGGTAACGCTATAAATGTTACCAAGTAACGCTATAAAATATAATTTTTTGGACTTAATAATCACTTTAGATGACATTTTAATGTCAAATAACATACCTTATGGCTTTTAACATGTCCTGTGGAAATCTTATTAACTTTTGTTAAGCCTAAGGATGAAAAAAATCAATTTAAAGAAAATTTTATAGCAAAATTATAGCATGGAATTACCCTTAAACAAAAAGGAAAGAGTTGTTATCGCTTATGCTTTATTTATTTTTCAATTTTTGCGATAACGTATGGTTTTTTATCGGCATAAAGCTGAGGGGCCGTTCACTTATTACGTTCGCATTTTAGGGGGGAGGAAGGGTTTGAAAAATTGTAACAAAATGTAACATAGGGGGGGTGTCTTTTAAAAAAAAGTTCACGAAAAAAATTTGTTTACAAATTCACACCAAAAACATTTTTTTTAAATTTTCCACCTTTTTAATGATTTACAAATGTCCAGATCTCTTTTGATAGCTAAGCAATACATAGTTTTTGTTATATAAAGTAACAAATCAATAGAAAACTGGTTTACAAGACTTTAAAATATAATCATAATTTGTGGAAATTTTCAAAATTAAATCAATCATAAGTTTAAAAGTCTAAATCTGTCATTCATATGATGATTAATATGATCCCACCATTGTGATATTTACATTCAAAGTTGATTGAATTTTCCAAAATTCAATCGGGCATAATATTTTTGAATTTTCTTCAAAAAAAAAAATCTTTATATCTCAATCCAATAATTCATGAGAATACTAATAGTATCAATCAAAACATGACCTATTTAGCTGTATAGTATTTTGATGTTTAAGAAAAAAAATACAAAAGAAATTTAACCGTCTTTTTAGATTAAAAAATTATCAAAATAAAATAAATTATGAACGTTCAGGAAGGGGGGGGGGGGGTGTTGTGAGTTGTAACATATTGTAACAAAGGGGGGAGGGGGAAAAAAGTCGATTTTTTGCGTAACGTAAAAAGTGAACGGCCCCTGATGTGTTAGTTTAATAAACACTATATGATTCCGTTGATCCTTGATTAACAATTTTCGCATAAAGCATTTTACATTTTCAGCACATTCTAATCGTCATAAATATACAGTCTCCCAAGAATCGAGAGGGTAAAGTTTTTATGTTAATTTAGATCCTGAACAAAAGATTCAAATTCTTCATGATGCATTTTATTCAATTCTAATGAATGCAACAAAGTTTAAAAAATTTAAAAAATAATAAAAAGTAATCTCAAGAGTAATTTAATTTTTTTTTAATTATAGAATTCATAATCCTTGGAAGGCGGAGGAAGTTTGTACTCTTTTAGATATTTAACCGAAAAATCACAAGCTTCCTTAAATACAGCCAATTGCAAATTTGTTATGTATTTTGCGCAATTTGTTCTTCGTAAAAGTGGTGCTGCAATTGTCACTGGAGTTTTAGAATCAATTCTGTCAATGTAACAATCTTTCCTGATTGATCTTCCACTGAATGCACAGATGATATAGTCTCGATAATTGAAATGATTGTAAAAGTCAAAAAACCCTTTAATATGTTCCTTAAAATTTGTTATTTCAGTTATGCCATAGTAATCTCGGGATCTGTTAGGATCAAAATGAACAGCATATTCTGAAATGATTTAATTGAATTATTTAAAACTGCATACATTTTTCAGTATATTTACTATCTATGAAGATTTCAGGATAAACTCCTTGCTGTACTTCCCATATAGATGGCAGTTGACGAATGTGTTGCATATAGAAGATGAGCATTAATGTTAGAGAAAATCCTTTAAAAGTAACATCGAAAACTTTGAGCCATTTTTTGAGATAATGAAATAAAGCCACACATTCTGGCTGAAGTTTAAACAAATGGCCTATTAACTTCGAATTATGCACTGCTAATCCGTTTGTTACACTTATATCACATACAATGCCGGTTTTGATGTGAATTGCTTTTATCGAAGGAACTGAGTAGTTTAATTTTTTAAAAGTCCATTCTTTAGGAGTATTATCAAAAAATCTCTTTAATTGCTCCACAATTTCCACGTCCCTATTATAGTTCCGATTCTTGAAATATCTTTTTCCTATTAAAAACATCAGTTTGTCATTTTCACAATGCTTATTTTTTATATATATAATTTACCAATGTCGATGAACAAGTCCAAATCTGATTCACTTTTATATCCAAGTCCGATAACTCTAGATCCTATAAGTTATCACAATATCCTTTAGGTAATTGAATTCAATGAAAAAAATGTAAACAAACCTAAATAGTGAATGTCGCAATTAGCATTAAAGTTTTTTTTTACAATTTCCTTTATATCATCCTCAATGTCCATATAATTGTACGATTCCTTTAGCACTAAAGAATGATACATTTTAAAGTAAACCATTTTATCGCTAACTTTAACAAAACTATTTAATTTTTCAATTTTTTTCTTAACATTAATTCGCGGCATTTTGGTTGTTTTTGTAGCGACTATTTTTGAATTGAGTATTTCATTGACTTAACAATACTTAAAACTTATATAGTTATTTAAATGATTGATAAAAGTAGAAACTTCTAGAATTCAGATCTAAAGTGTTACTGAGTTAACTCTATGAGAAGTCAAAAAATTACTTTTTCAATTTTTCATCTAATTACAAGCTTAGAAATGATGGAAAGATATATAATAGATTTTCGCTCTCTAGAGCTTTAAGTTAACACCCATTTCATGCTGAACAAATGGTTAAGTAAAGAGATATTTAAGAAAATAGCGTTACTGAGTTAACTTTATAACTCATTAATACAAAACATATTTCATTTTTTTATAAAATTAAACATTGATTTTAGCAATCATTAGGTCTTGTTTTAATTAGCTAGTAATTAAATCACATTAAGGAGTCAATAATTAATGAAATCGGTTGGTCATACAATTCTGTAAGTGAATATTTAAAGCAAAAATCAAGGCGTAGACACTGGGATTAATCCCAATAATCCAAAATAATCCCAATAATTCCAGGTTTGGGATTATTGGTATTATTGAAATAATTTTTGAATTTTTCAAACTTAACATTTTTTAAATGTTAAAATTTTGACTAGTTTTGAAAGGAATACTGTCCCCAAAAATCTTTGGATACATTTTAAGTTCAGAATATTAATATAAAAATTAGCTAAAGTAATAAACTTGTATTAAAACGTCAAAAAGTGATTTTTTTATCAACAAAATCTAGTGCTCTAGTCAAAAATTTACAAAAATCAATTTAAAATTTCTTTTCAATGCTATATTTGATTAATTTACTATGCTTTCTAATCAAAATAATCGTATATTAGCCCAAAAATCAATCAAACGTTACATAATTCCTCAAAAAAGTTCTTCAAACTAGGTTTTTGATTCGACAAACCTAGTAAAGCTAGTAGTGTCCTCGGTGTTAATGACGGCTATGGTTAAATTATTGACTTTTAAGCAGAGTTGCGATCTGTCACAGGTCAACAAAAACAGCCCACCTGTCACAGGCCGTTACCTGTTCACAGGTCAAATTTTTTCGCCTATCACAGGTCTGACCTGTCAAAGGTTCTACCTGTCACAGGCCGTTACCTGTTCACAGGTCAAATTTTTTCGCCTGTCACAGGTCTGACCTGTCAAAGGTTCTGCCTCTCACAGGTCGTTACCTGTTCACAGGTCAATTTTTTTCGCCTGTCACAGGTCTGACCTGTCAAAGGTTCTGCCTGTCACAGGACGTTACCTGTTCACAGGTCAATTTTTTCCACCTGTCACAGCTCTGACCTGTCGCAGGCCTCACCTGTGACAGGTCGTCACCTGTTGACAGGTAGAAAAAATCTACCTGTGTACAGGTAACGTCCTGTGACAGGCAGAACCTTTGACAGGTCAGACCTGTGACAGGCGAAAAAAATTGACCTGTGAACAGGTAACGACCTGTGAGAGGCAGAACCTTTGACAGGTCAGACCTGTGACAGGCGAAAAAAATTGACCTGTGAAAAGGTAACGACCTGTGACAGGTAGAACCTTTGACAGGTCAGACCTGTGATAGGCGAAAAAATTTGACCTGTGAACAGGTAACGACCTGTGACAGGTGATCTTTTGACAGAAACTGTCACCTTTACCTGTGACAGGTACCTGTCGTCGCAACTCTGCTTTTAAGCTTTTATGGGGATAAATCAGAGATCGAAGCCGGATTTTTCAGTTTGATTCAACTTTTGATTTTTTTTATAGAAAAAAGTCATTTAACGCCCATTGCAAGTATTTAAATTGAACTTTACATGCTTTGCTACGATTCTGATTAATATTTTGTCAGCATGTAGCTATAGCAAGCTCAGAATTTTAAAAAAAAATCTTTTTATTGCATAGTATAAAAAATAATTTTAGTATATGGATTATCCTAAGATTATCCTAGTGTAATCCTGAAGATTATCCGAATTTTCAATCTTAAGGGGACCCAGTTTTAACATTTTATATTAATTATGTGGATAATCCTAGGATAATCTTTGGATAATCTACCTACTAGGATGATCTTTTTTTGTAAAATCCACTGTCAAAAATTGTTCTTCTTTTAATCAATTTTTTCTTACTCACCGTGCAATTTTACGAAATAAAAAATTTCATGGATTATCCTCGGATTAAAAACTTGGATAATCCGATCGGGGGACCACACCAAAAAAAGGGGCGAGCTTATTTTTAAATTTTTGATTTTTGACTGTATTTTTTGTTATACTCAATGAATCTTACTGAAACTTTTACAGATTTTTAACCGTAGTTGTATCAGTAAACGCTGACCGAAAAATTTCAATCCCGATCCTGTTCCCGAAAATTTTCTGTACCGGAATTTTGAGAAAGCATGTGTGTCTCCTAATTTTATAATATTAAAAGATCCAAAAACAAAACTATACTTAACAGAAAATACTAAAGTCTGTCCGTAATTGATTACGGGATATCATCCTCGTATTAACATAATAAGATTTGGTAACATCATTGAGTTGAACTGAATCTAGATCAGCAAGACTTATTTTAGTGGATAAATAAGATCATTGTTATTGTTTAAAAAAGTTTCAGAACTAAGGTAAAAAACCAACCACCATTTTGAAAAAGGACATGGCTTAGGAAAATTCTATATTGAATATTTTTAACTGTGAAGGATAAAAAACCTAGAATTTACTTGGCCATACAACACTATTGATTTTTAAAAAATGATCTTAAAAATAGAACAACTCAACGAAATTAAGTAAAAAAATTGAGAAAATCATGTTCAAAAATAAATTTCTTGGGAAGAGAAAAGAAAGTTAACTGGCTTCAATATTTTTCGCATGCTTAAAATCGAAATGTTCATCTTTTTGAGTCATTGACAGGGTCATTGATGAAAATATCCGAGTCACTTAAATAATACAGCAATTAGAAGTATGTACTAGGGTTCCTCGTTCTGAGTAGGTGTTTTGTTCCAGAAAAATCCTATTCAAATCGAATCTAATTAAATCGAGGACCCCTAGCAATACTTTAGATGAGCAATCTACTAAAATAACCTTAAGATTCCTCAAAGCGAGGTTTTTGTCTGAAATACTTAGTACAGTAGTCATCAAACTCCAACAAAACTAGTAATAAAGCCAAAAAATTTCCTCAGACTGATGTTTTAATATGGACATTACTTAGGACACTAGGAAATACGACTAAAAACTCTCGGCCAATTTCACAAAGGTGGATAATCCTCATTTTCGGATTATCTATTTCTTTGATATGAGAAAAATCCAAATAATTTTTTTCTGGTGTAGAATTAATTGGTTAATAATAATCAAACTAGTTTGAGAAAAAATCTTATTATTGTATTGTGAATATAGCGAAAAAATAATTTTTGTATATGGATTATCCTAAGATTATCCTAGGATAATCCCGAAGATTATCCGAATTTTCAATCTTGGGGGGACCCAGTTTTAACATTTTGGAATAATTATGTGGATAATCCTAGGATAATCTCAGGATAATCCACATACTAGGATAATCTTTTTTTGTGAAATCCATTGTCAAAAAATTATTTTTTTCAAATCCATTTTTTCTGATACACCGTGCAGTTTAACGCAGTAAAAAAAATCATGGATTATCCTTGGATTCAAAAAGTGGATAATCCGATCCGAGGATTATCCACCTTTGTGAAATCGGCCGTCTGAGTAAATGTCGAATCCTATTCCAGAAACCGATTGTTTAAATAAATCAGTCAAAATTGTATGAAAAATTATTGTATATAATCAAATTTATATTTTGGTACTCGACAAACACTTCAAAATGATATATTTTTACATTGAATAAACTTTACAAGTCACAATGGCTTCAAATAACATATACTTACAGTTCATTTCCTCAAAAAATTCGAAATATTTGAATAATTTTTTTCCCAATAATCCCAATAATCCTGAATAATATCAGCATATTTTTGAGTGTCCACTGTGTGTTCTGTGGATTTGCCCATAATAGAAAAAATGTAGACAAACAATAATAATCAATATGATGAAAAACAAAAATTCATTAAGCTTTTTCTGCCTTCTTTCTGACCCATCGTGCTCTGCGGATTACTGTATGTAAAGCCTTTGATACTGCTGTTAAATCATTAAAAGTTCCTGGAGCACTTTGATTGAATATATCTTGAAAAAGATGCATGTGTCCTGAAAATTCTTTCATAGCAATTGTCGTTCCTATATATTATTATAAATGTTATAAAAGAATAAATAAATATAAACAAATTTTTTTAAATCTTTTGCTCACCTTCTACTAAAGTCTATCCTACTTTACTTATTAAGTCTTCACCGATATAAATTTCAAGAGTAAAAAAAAAATGAACTTGTCACTTCAAAATCACGATTTCAAATGAATGGTTTTCATAATTTTTCAAAAAACAATTGTAACTGTGATTAATATTTTTCTCATGGCAGTCACATGGCAGTTTTATAAAATTGTCATATAATTACTACCAAATAACCGTCATATAACTGTTATCTACCATTTTAAAACGATCACATAACAGTCATAAGACTGACACCTGCCAACTTGTGCCGCTCGAGTCTTTGTCTTTTTGGGGTCATTTTTATCAAATTAAGAATTTTAAACTACATTTATTTTAATATTAAATAATAAGGATGGATAATTCAAATGTACACGCGTAATTAAATGTAAATATTATAATGTTAAGAATAAATGTAAGCACGAAGTTAATTATGATAAGGTATCATAAGAACAAAACAAATGTTTATAAAGATTAAAGAATATAGATATAAAGAATATCTGTAAAAAATAGAACAAAGGAGTATTTCACGCCAGTGCAATAGTAATTATTAGCATTTCCAAACAATAAAACACAAATAGATGTTCAGAATTTTCTATAATTTTCCATCCACCTGTTGACTGCAATGATTCCAAAAATAAAGCTTTCAAATTGTATTATTTTCATTTTATCAACCAATAATTTCCAATTAATATTCAATAAAAGCAGTCATAACTAAAATGCAAATAATAATTTTTTTGGAAAAATCAGATAAAACATTAATTATTGCTATCAGCGAAAAGCATATCACTTCAGTGAATTTGATTATGCTTTCATATTATTTGTACTAAAATGTTTGAAAAAAGAGAGTAAGAAATTTTTTGAAACTCTCGCAAAACGTTATGATGTTGTAGAAAAATTCATTCATAAAATTGAATTAAATGTGAGAGAAACTTTTTGAAATGAGAGGAAAAGAGAAAATTTTGATCGACAATTGGGAAAATTCTTTTTATTTTTTTCCTTCTCACAAATATTTCAGTTCTTATCTCTAATGCAAAAATATTTTACCATTTTCACTCTGCAATCAGTTATCATCGAAACTTTGTTGAATGTAAACGTAAAAACTTTTCAATCGGAAATTTTGATAAAAAAAGAGTATATCTCAATGCTGTGCGTATCTAGATATGTATGTAGGTACCTCTTGTATGTGTTTGACGGAATGTAACATTTGAAAAATTAATTGTTAAGGAAGAAAAAAATGTATCAAAAATAATAAATCATATAAAAAGAAAAAAAAAATGATAGAGGTGCCATCAAAAGTGCTTACAGTGACAAAAGATTAGAGAAAAAAATATTCATTTCGTATAAAAAATAGATTTCTGGTTCAGTGAATTACTTTCTGGTTCTGACATAACGATAAAAATAAAAAAAAAAGTTTGAGCATAACGAAATGAGAGAAAAAAAGTTCTTTCTAAACAAATATAATAATAATAATATTACCACCCGACTAGTAAAATAAAAAGCACAGAAGAACGGAATGGAAAAAGTCTCGGTCGAGTAACTGCATACACAATTTTTGAACAAAATGATTTATTTGTAAAGAAAATCACAAAATTTTCAATGAGTATAATTCAAAAAAAAATAAAAATAAAAAAAGAATTAATTTAAAATGGTGATGAACAAAAAAATTGAATAAATTTATAGTGATGGTGTTCAATTACAATTGTGTGGCTGATTAATTTTTTCAACTTTTGTTATAATTGAGTGATGGTTGTGGCAACTTTTAAAATATTTTATCAATGACGTTATAATTAAATTAAATTCATTTATATAATTTTTCGTGTGGTCATTAAGCTTCGATAAGCATTTTTATGTGTGATAAAATTATGGAATCAGTCATTACAGAATGAAAGAAAAAATTGGATTTAACTTTAAAAAAATCTCAAATTTATTTTCGTTTTATCTTTTGAAAATTTTTCACATAATTGCAATAAATTAATCACATTTGTGAACGTAAAACATTCATTTTTTTACTGCTCATCAATTCAACAAATTATCAAAGGAATATTCATTAAGCATGCTGGAATATGTTTTAACGAATCAATTAAATTTTAAAAATGTTTTATTCGCAGAGAAAAACTTTATAAAATTTGTCTTCATTTAATATTTTCCATTCATCTTAGTTATATGTTATGCTATGAAATGATACGTTATTACGTAAATTTTGATGAATCCTTAATAGAATATTTCAATTTAAATATGTCAAAATGATGTGGTTAATGTTTAATAACATAGACAAATTTCCTCAAACAAGTTCTAGCCTTTAGTTTTTATTTTTATTAATTAATTTCTAAAATAACAAGCATAATTAGTAGGCGAATCAACCTCCAGCGAAAAGTGTGATGTAACCGTTGAATTTTATTCCCTTGATGTTTTCTAATTATTCGGTAACTTTTTGGTTCCTACATATTCATTGCTATTTGCATTAACTTTTTCTTCCAAAAAGTAACATTTGCTGAATATTTAGTTGTTAATATAACCATAAATGTTTGTATGTACGAATTAATTACTTAATTAATATATGCCAGTCTTAATTTTAGTTTTAATAAACATATAACAACAATATAATTAATAATGACTATGATAATCTGCATAGCCTTGGTGTATATAGATATAAGTATACAAAAGAAGAAGTTATTACTGTTATTAAGTTCTTGGCAGACGATTAATAATCCAATAATAATAAAAACTTTCAAGAGTATATAATAATTTCCACTTGTAAAATATTCATAAATTAATTTTTGCTTAGCTCACAAGTAAAAACAAAAATTGAAAATAATGAAAAAAGTTTCTTTCGAGACAACATAAATTTATCACGTTATGAAATGCTTATCAGGTCAACTACCTTAAATACTTCTAATGAGTTATCAAAACTATAATTTAAAAGTTTTTATAAGTGTACAAATATAATCATAAAAATTAAAATATATGGTTTATTGGAATAAGGGAATTAAATTTAATTTATATATCCTTTTAGCATTAACTGCAATATAGTTTAATACATAAACATCAAATTGGATTAATATATATTGAATATTAATGAATAATAAATAACCAAGCAGTTCTTCTTATGTGAAGATTAAATAAAATATGAAAATTCAAAGAAATAAAAGAAAAATGAGGATGGAATGAAAAAAGTTTGTGGAGATTTTATGAAGCACGTACTCTAAGCGAGAATTGATTATATCTCTCAATGCTGTACATATTTTCGAATGATGGAATTTTTTTAAAATGTCTTTTTCTTGGTTTCAATGTGAATAGTAAAAAAAATGTCTTATGCCTGACATAAGTTGAAACAGTGAAAAACAATAAAGTGCAAAAATGAAAAGGCTGCAAATCTAAATTCACTTACATTAAACTTAGAAATAGTTGTGAAAGAACTCAATAAATAAAAATAAAAAAGGTAAATCTCAATGCAAATTTTAATTTGAGTTCAATTATTATATTTTTCATGATTCGAAATCAGCCTTGCTGATGAAAATTATTCTTTTGTTTCGTAATGCGATATAAAAGCTGACAAAATGTTTCATTAAACAGAAATTGAAGCAGAATAATGCTTAATTAATTCGATAATAATTCACATGAAATTTCTCGCTTCATTTATGCTCATGGAAATATTCATTCATTTAATGAAAAATTATCACGTCTTACTTAATTAAGAACGATTCGAAAATTTTTAAGGCTTTTATTTGATAAAAATGGAAAATTCATTGTGAGTACAATTTAATTTAATGTCATCCAAGGAAACGACTAATGGCTATGCAAAAATGGCACAGACATGTATAATGGAATTATGGAGAAATTTTTTCAGATGAGTGAATTTTTTAATTAATTTTCTGATTGAAGAATACATCGGTAAAGACTGGAATTCCATTGAAAGTTCAACCTGACATTATTAGAACTTTTTGACTTCGATAAAGTGTTTATTTTTCAAGCCGAAATATTATCATGGATTTATATTTTAAAAAATTCATACGATCTCCTTTCTCAATTCATTTACATCATTAACATTTGACATGTAAGTGATGAAAACGTAATGTTATAAATAATAAATATTTGTTCGTTAATTCGTAATGGTTTGTACATATTTTGATAAATGCTTTATAATGAAAACAAACTCAAATTTAATGATTTTTAGAAATGAAAATATCGAATTAGGATTTTATTGCGCGATATCAAATTAAGTTTTAATTAATTGTGTATTTTGAGCTTCCACTTCTTAGCTCATGAATTTAATTAAGATATCAAATATAAAGAAAATATTTATATTTTGTATACATATTCTTTTGAACAACTTCAAAAATTCGCAATAAGACAGAAAATGTGATGAATTAAGTAACATTAATTTCACTTGAGTCTAAAACAAATCTATATGATCTAATTTATCATTTTTCTTCTTTTGATTCCTTACTTGTACATTAATTTTTATTTCGTTTTGTATAATTGAGTCGTTTTCCTTTTTGTGCGAACAAGGACAAAGGCAATATATTCAAAGAGGTCTTTCATTAAGTAATGGAATTTGTCATAGGGGCGTCGTGATTAATTATATAAATCATGAAATTGAAATATCCGTTAAATACTGACAATAATATATAAAATATATAACAATTCAAAATAAATGTGTTTTATTAGCATTACATTTATTAAAAGGTCAAAGATTGAATTAAGTCTGATTTATTTCTATCTTAGCTTAAGATCCAACTGTATGGAAGTGTCAAATAGATGTCCTTACAAAATTTTATAATAATCTAGTTCGACCATTAAATTCGTAGTGATTTTAAAACTAATAATAATGATTTTTAAAATACATTATATTAATGTATATATATATATAAACATTAATAAACTTTTGTTTCAGTTCAATATTTCGAAAGGCTTAAAATACATGAAAAGGGTGGTTAATGCTTTTCTTTGTTTAACATTAGTGCTTAATTAAGTCTACAGAAAAGTGTGAAGAAATTGTGACACATGACATAAAACTATTTGCCTATTATTTTTCGTATAATTTATTTGATCAAGTTTTTTTTTATTTTGATTTATTCTTTTGGTAAAAAAATTGCTGATTTTTTTTTATTTTCACCCGAAAACATTTTTAAAGCGAAATTTCATAACTTTTCATCTTTTGGGAATTAGAAATATGTTAGGAAAAAGAATGAGTTTAAAAAAATTGCGACTTTTGTTATGTTACCATGGGTTCACCATAGATTTCTTTGCAATGAGCACGTGTAGGAGTTTTGTTGTTCAAGTACGATTGAAAAAGATCTTTTGCAAATAATTTTTAATGGAAATATTTTTAACTATTTTTTTAATGCTATATTAACCTATTTTTAAGGAATTTATTTTGGTTTGGTAATTTGTTAAATTTAATGGCCTATTTTTAATATCAAATTTACCAGAAACTTTTTTTAAATGGCAATAATGGGAAAAAGTAATTCATAAAGCCAATCAGCTTCGTAAAGGCTCTACACATACCTTTTGTAAAAGTACGTTGTTATGAAGATATTCACAAAAATATATTATTGAAGTACTTCTTATATTCTGCCTGAGAAACTTCAGTTTCTTACCTTTTTCATTTTTCAAAAGATACCTTGCTTTAAAAGTCTTCATTGAGCAAATGTAACATGATTGAATGATTTAGGAGACTTGCAATTGATGAAAAACTTTCTCTTAGTAAATGTGATGAAATGTGTTTTCAACATTAGAAGTAAATTTACAATTCATTCAATTAAATTGAAATCATTTTTAAAAAAAACAAAACATCAATTTTAAAATATTTTTTATTGTTTATATTCAAATATGTAGTCCAAAATAATTGAGATGTTTTATTGTTCCTTAAATAAAACAAGATGAAATAGTGTCTATGCTTTGGGAGGAAACATATTTTTTATCGAGAATATATTTATTTCTTAATGAAATAATTAATATGTAAGCTTTCTCATAATTTTAAGCCACAAATGTGTTTCCCTTTCTTTATTTGTGTTGACAAGGTTTTTCGTGGTATATAAGAAAACGTTACATACTTGAATGTTATTATAACAACAAGGAGAAGACGTTTATGGTACAAAAAAGTTAATGAGGAAAAAATGCTAATAATTTTTTATTAAAATAACCAAAGTTTTAAAGTTTGCCTATGACATAATTAAGGAAAAAAAATCGCACGAAAGAAAAAAGCAAAATTTAAGGAATGGAACCTATCATTCTTACAAAAAATTTATTTTTTCACAAAAAATCACAAATGTAAAATACGAAATTATTATTTAATCTTATAAAAATTAAATATTAAAATTCTGGATAATCTAATGCTATGTTTTGAATATTATTGTGGAGTATGCTATGGCTCTATGAAAGTACATACGATTAAATATAAAGTCAAAAAGCTCCATTTTATGCCATACTCATTAAGCCACATCACGGCACATAATTCCTTATCGGTCTTACATCTTGAGCCTTTTTCTCTTTCACACAACTATACGTTTATACGTTCATTCATTCACATGTTACAAAAGAAGAAAAAATATTGAAATGAGGGCGAAAATGTTGAATTGAATTCTATTCGTTTCCCTTTCACGTCATGGAAGAATTTTTTTTCATGGTTGAATTTTAATTCATACGGAAATATAAAGTTGGAAATAAATTTTCAATTAACTGATAAGAATCATGAAAGGTTTAACCGTCTAGATCATAAATGTATGATATTTACTGTTATTTCCATTAAAACTTATGTTCACGACTTTTTGTCTTATTTTCTTCCTTTTGTTCTTTTCCTCTTTTTAATGCAACCCCTTTTGCACGTTCATTAAAAAATCGTCTGTATAAAATAGCAGCTGTAAATATTGGAAATAGATAAGACAAGAAAAATAATGAAGAATTCATTGATTACAATGTTCATAGCTTTATTTCTTCTACCACAAACCAGCAGTATAAAAAAATGTCCCATTGAATGTACATGTGATTTAGATATTACTGGAAGATATTCAGCGATTTGCGAGCGAGGTTAGTAAGCAAATTCTGTTCTAATCACAACCAAAATTTTAATTTCGGAAAAATCATTAAAAATTTATTTACAGGGAACATGAAGATAATTCCAATAAAGGACTTTGATGAAGAAATAAATGTTATTATTATCAGAAAACCAAAGCATACGCTCACAATAGGTCCAATATTTCAGTCTTTAAAACAATTAGAAATTTTACGTATCATTGAATCTAATGTGCCTACTGTCGGCATGCATTCATTTTGGGGCGTTCCATCTCTTCGTTTATTGGGTATGTACTCTGTCAGAAATTTTTTCTACTTAATATTCAAGCTTAAAAATAATGAAAAATTCATTAAGGTCTTCATTAATTTATTATTCCTTTTAACATTGCTTTCCTCTCGTTTCCAAACAGATTTATCCCGAAATAACATTTCAACTGTAAGCGAAGATAATTTTAAAGGACAACAAAATCTTTTGGAATTAAATTTGTCGAAAAATAAGCTAGATCAAATACCTAGTGGCACATTTAAATACTTGACTGTAAGAGAAACATTGATAATAAATGAAATAATTTATTTTAATATTTTTCATATATTGATCATCAAGGATTTACATACTTTGAATTTAGCCGATAACTCGTTATCAGACCTAGAAACAAAAGTGTTCCAGATGCTCACAAAACTTAAAATTCTCGACCTTAGCAGAAATCCGTTAGAAGATTTGCAACCTGACATTTTCAAAGATATTATTGTAAGTGTAACATTTACCTATCCTCTTCCTTTTTTGTATTAGATCATGATTTTGATGTATTACAAGCAATTTCTCAAACATCTTCTTCCTTCTTTTTCTCATTTCTTCTTTTTTTTTGCTCTATTCAATTCCCCTGAACAAATAATTTTAAACGAAAAAAATCCTCTGAATATGAATGAATGATGTGTCTGGATTAAAGGATCTTAAAGTGTTAAAATGTCGTGGATGTCGATTGCAGAATATTAACCCACAAGTATATAATTTACTAAACCAGTTGACTGATTTGGATTTGGGTAACAATCAGGTAAATTATCTTTATATTTAACATCATTTATAATATGGCAAAAAAATGCTGACAAAATGAATTCAAATCTCTTCTGAATAAATCTGAATTGTATCAGATTTGTATCAGAAAACAATTTAGATTTTCAAGATTTAGAATGTATTAATGTTGTAATGCTACAAAATTCAAGAATTTCCCACAAACATTTTATTCTGATTTTCTCATCTTATAAACAATGATTTTTTGCATGAAAACCTTTATATAAATCTAAAAAGATGAGAAAACAAGTATTTGTGCTTATTCAAACCAATTCAGCCCCTTATTTTTCATGCTTTCTATTTTTTCTTATTTTTGTATTTATGCTAACAGTCGTCCTTTTTTACTCCTTTACTCTAAAAGAGTTTTATGATAATCATTTATTTTTATATACTACAAATAGTTGATGACTCAAATATGCTTAAAGGCAAATATATAAAAAGTGTACTTTCTTAGCAAAATTGTGCTTTTTACACAAACTTTCCTTTATATAATGAAAAAACCTTTAATAAACTTCTTGATTCGTGAACTTTTTTTAAACGAAAATCTCAATCATTAAAATTGATTTTTTAATCAAACAAATTCTTTTTTATAGGAATTCAGTTTTAATTGATTTTGGCTACGAAACAAAAAATATAAATGCATATATGTTTATGCACGCAATAAAAATTCATGATTTTCAAAACAAGATTCCATATCTAAGAAAATTTATTAGGTTTCTAAACGATTTGATAGAAAAATGTTTTTAAAGCTTTTAAATTTCCCTTCTTGTCGACTTTTTTTTTCTATCCCAAAGTCCCCCAAAGTTTTATCTCTTAACAAAATAAAACGCTCTGTTACGCATTCAATTTGAGATTGTTTCTCAGGCATAAAATAATATGTCAATAATATTTGCACAAGGGGGTATTTACGGTTAGATATTCATATATCAATATTTTACGAGGGTTGAAATGGAAAGAAAATTGGATTCAAAGTTCGCGACGCATAAAGAGTATACAATTCATACAATCTAAATATTGATTTAGTTCAGTTTTAGAATTTGTCTAGACGTCAATTTCACTCTCGCAATTTCGGTTGTCAAGTTTACCTTCGTCCACTTAATAAATTTTTGCCGTGACAAGGAAGCAAAAATTGAATTACTTAGGTCACGAAACGATGTCTTTTATTTTTTTTCTTCTTTTGTAATTTCATTTATTTCCAGTTTAAATATTTGGACAAGGATGAATTTAAGGACCTTAAACATTTACGTCGTCTTCATCTCGACAACAATCAGTTGTCTGTTGTGGTAGATTTTATATTTCAGAGACAAAGAAATCTTCTGTATTTAGGTAGGATAAATTCAATTTTATTTATTGCTTATTTTTATTCCATAAAATTTTAATTTAGTTGAACAAAAAATTGTCCATGGCAAAAATCGTACAAAAGATACAGTACGAAAAAAATATATCCACTAAATTGATATAAAATAAAAGTATTGCTCAATCGACCATTTGAATCTTATATTTCAATAAATGTATAACAATAATCTATTTTTTTCGAGAGAATAACACTTTGTCATTATTTTTACAGACTTATCACGTAACCGTTTGGCCAAGATATCCGGTAGAGCGTTTAACAATTTATTCAACTTAACTTATCTCGACATTTCATATAACAAACTATCAGCTCTTGAACTGGATTACATGTGTCATTTGCCAAAGTTGCAAACTCTCAATATCAGCGGAAATGTGCAACTTAATTTATTGGATATTCGACCAGTATTTCAGAACATGACAGAGTTACGTTCACTATCGATAGCTGACATCGCAAGCATGCCATTGGGAATCTTTGTACCGTTGAGTAATCTCTTAATGCTCAATATTTCCGGCACGCATCTCAACAACGAAACGATACAGATCCTTAATCCGTTAGCAAAGTTAAAGGTAAATCATGCACATAACGTGTTCAAGTCCGTTTACTTGTTGTTTTGTGAACTTTATAGTTTTGTAGTCATAAAATCAACCCAAACCATTGAGACATATAGCATATATACATACAAAACATATTTATTTAGTCACATAAAATAGGCTTTTATGCATTATTCATAAATTTATGCATGCCCCATTCCATATCATTGTTTATGATTCATTTTTATGCCATTTGTGACACAGTTGCCAAAAAAAGTTCTCTTTTTGAATAATCATAAATTTTCCTGATAAAACTTTTCTTTCGTGCTTGATACAAATATATACTTATCTTTATTTGATGTACATGCCAATCGCGAGCTTGTTATTGTCATGAAAAAAGCCTTTTGGTTACAATTATTTTAAACGAATATATCAGCGAAAGTTATTTTTATTATAAACGAATATTAACTTCGTCAAAAAATTGTAGTTTTAGAGTTCTAAACATAAGAATGAAGAGAAGAATGAGTAAATTTGTAGTTTTTATTAAAACTTAAGTTTTTAAACAGATTGTAATTTTATTTTTAAAAATAAAATAAATTCATTTAAATTTCAAAACTTTTCCAAGGAAAATGTTGTGTTCGCCGTACAGTTGAGTTCTATTAAAAATTAATGAATTTACGCCTTCAAGCACTTCTGTGAAAATATTATGGATATTATCTTGTATCTCCAAAATTATTTTCTATACCATTGTTAAATAAAACTTTTCAAAGCTTTTCCTCAAAATAATTCGAAATAAACATTTTCTCTTTCTATTTCACTTTATAAGGAAACGAAAGGAAATGTAAAAGAAAGAAGAGAAACCACAAAAAGAATTTTATTTGCATTTCAACGCCTTCATTTCTTATTCAAATTTTCGCATATTTTTATGATGATGTTATTTGCTTAACGAGAATTTCTCTGCCTTTTCATACTCTCTTTATAAATTTATTCCACAGGAATTGGATTTATCAAGAAATCAACTTACTGGATTTGAGGAAGATTTTGCAATCAAACTGTTAAATATTGATGATGTGAAATTCGAGCAGAATCCATTTGTTTGCGATGTATGTCACGTTGGTGCTATCTTCAATCGTATTCATATGGTAAGAAGCTTGTGATATGAGGTGATAAGTAGACATATTCTTATGATGTGCTTATGTGAAACATGTGACTTACTTAATTATTTATTGAATACATCTTTTTCTATTTATGCCTCTTACTCTTGTGTGTTATGTCCTTTTTTTCTCATCTAATCTGGTTTTGTATATATTTGTATATATCTTTTATCTACTCAATAATAGATGAAATGGCAAAGCAGCCCAGAATGCTTTCTTCCAGAAGTGTTTCGAGGCAAACCGATAAATCGTCTTACACAAGATAAATTGGAATTCTGTTACGAAACCTTTGTAGATGAAGGACATGATGCTGCTAGTACTTCTGGCCATTACAGCATTCTTGATGAAGGACGTATAAGCATCATTGCATTTATGGCACTTGCCATTTTCATTCTTGTCCTCCTCATTATGATTGTTACAATAGCTCTTTGTATAAGACAGCGAAGTAATTATAACGCCGCACAGCAGCAAACAGAGGATGGGAAGGAAGGTGAGTAATTAAGAATGCTAATCAGCTTCACAAAAAATTCTCCTACTCATCTTGATTAATTGGTAATGATTAATTACAGCAATAAGGAATAACGAGAAGAGTATTGAGGAGTCGCTGATAGCAAATAATGAAATTAGCTATAAAATTGCCCTTCAAGATCGTGTCAACGTTTTCCTTAAAGATTCTCCTAGTTGACATCAATCGAGCTCTACAGAGCTTCTTAAACCATAGAATAAGTAAATATTTTAACACATTAATTAAATTTGTTTATACTAAAATGAATGCATTGTGAAGATACACATCAAAATTTCTAATATTTAGTCAATAAGATATTTTACAATAAAAAATAATTATTACGATTTATTTTGAGAACTATATAATTGAAACTTTAGTAGGCGTTACTTTTAATAGATACTTAGCCTTCTGCTGATAATGTAATCAGATTAAATCAAGCAAAGTCAAAAACCTAGTCATAAAATTAATCGAAGCACTACTTGAATGGCATTTTGCAAATGAGACAATAAAACCTGTCAAAAAGTCAAATATTTTTTTAATGCTTACCAAATTCCTTCAGCCATTAATAAAATTGAATAATTTTTTAACGCGTTTTGATTTTTTCAGTGAATTTTGACAAACAATAATAATTGTCAAAATGATTAATAACCAATTAATAAATCATGAATTGTGATGTGCCATTCTGATAAAGTTTTATTCCCGGTGGTTCATAAAGTTTTATTTTTTTAAAAAAAATGCATATACAACTATTTAAAAATAATAAGATCAAATTCGAACATATTTTAAGATCAAAGCTAATAATCTTAGAGAAAAGGATGAATTTATGTATTTGTTTGTTGAGCAAAAAGTGCATCGTATTGTTGACCCAAATGCATAAATTGTCAATTTGTGATAAAAATATATGATTTAGATTTTAAATAAATCTAATAATTTTAAAAAAAAAGGAAAAGATTTTGCAAAAAATTCAAAAATCTTTTGTTCGATGTACACGTAATCAGAAAGATCATTTATAAAAAATGTTGAATTAAAAGGAACAAAAATGGATTTTCATCAATAAAATTGAGAAAAAGTGAACAAAAAAATTGAAAATTGAAATGAAATAAAAAAGTTTTTATCTGATTTTGCATTGTTAAAGTTTCAGCTTACAATTCCTCATCATTACAAAACAGAAAGTTTTTATGTACTACTTTATTTTTTTTTATTTTTAAATGAAGATTACATTTTCAAACAGATATGTGCGAATTTCGATTACCAAAAATTTCGTCCTGTGATTTAAATTAAATTTCTATTTTTAAATTTAAATTATTAAAATTTTTAAGTGTAACTGAAATTTTTATACAGTTGAGTTTTATTTTTTTTAAAATCTCTACAATAAGATCAATGTAATTAAATAAGGAAACTCAGAAAATAAAACTTCTTGTTAAAATGTTCTTTCATCTTATGAAAATTCAATTTTCATATTTTAAGCAAACTTTTTCATTAAGGCACATATACATCTACTGAAGAAGAAATAAAAAAGATTTTTAATACTCTTATCTTCTACACATGAGCATAAAAAAATTACGTAAACTTGATCAAAAATTCATCATCTTCCTTATTTTATAATCATCAACATATACGTGATTCTTTAGACTACTTTTTCATTCAAATACAACTCAAATACTATAACAGCATCATCATTATCATGTCCCAAAACGATGGAATGAAGAGTATAGAACGGAAGCAAACTTTTTTATTAACATTTTTGCTCATCTTAGTTTTTTATTCGTTGTTTTTTTTTGTTGTTGCTATTTCTTTGAAGCCTAAAAAGTTTTAGCGTACAAAAATGAAGTTTTTATTGCTTCTCATACAAAACTTTTCATTGCTTTATTTGCTTCTTGATTATATCTTTCAGTCGACTTTTTTTTCTTCCTTCTTCCTTCTTTATAAATTTACTTGAAGTAGGAGATGAAAAATTGCCACTTTTATCAGAACGGAAAAGAGAAATTTCACATACTAGTGACTATTCTTTTCTGTGTGAAAAACGTGTCAAGAACATTATAGTAAAGTGAAAGTAATTTCAAAGTATTGATCAAAAAATAATCCTCGAAAGCACACGCGTCTCTCATGAAAATGACAATACATTTCAAAGTTGGTTACAGTTTCAATATCGATAACATAAAAAAGTTTCAAGGTTGAACTCTGAATATCCATTTGAAAAGTTTATTGACCTATCAAATTTTTGAAGATATAATAAATCGGATATGCTGTTTTAGAATATACTCAAAATATACTTAACTCAATATCCTAAACTCACAAGATTATTTTTTTTGAGGTAGAGTCAAATAAATATTTATTTTCAATCTTTTCTGCCTAAATATAATCATGATATTTGTTGGGCTTTTGTAGTGTACGAAAAGTAGTGCCAAATAGATCATTTTTCTTAAGGCTTAGACTCCTTTTTTAAAGTAATCTTTAATCAATAGCAGAGGCACATTCAGTTAATTGCACAGTTGCAGCAGAAAACACTTGCTTTATGCCCTATTCAGGAAAGAGTAGTTTGAAGACAAATAAAAAGTATTAAAGCCTTACAAATTATGTTTGTCGAATTTTTTTCCATAACTGATTATATCAGTGACGACATTATCAATTCTTTAGTCATAAACAACATTTTAATACTTACTGCAAAATCAGCTTTGTGTGAGAAAATAAGCGTCGCGTAATAAATCGTAATAAAACATAGTCTGCTGAAAGTAGTGTGCATTATATTATGAATCAGCATGTCACCAATGAATAAACATTGAATCTAGTCCTGAACAGTAATAGTCATTTTTCTTAGATAATAAGTTTTTACTCAATTTTAATGGGACAGTAATTTTTTATGACTTCATAAAGCGTTGATTCATGCTATTTAATGAAGATTGAATTTTGTGCTAAAATATGCTGATTTATGGAAATTCTTAGATTTTTATTACCGATTTAATTTTATTTTTTTGATGTCAACAAAATGGAGTTCAAAAAGATGAAATGATGGTTTTGCAATATAACGAAAAAATGATCATGAAGAAATAGAAAAAAAAAAGGTTGAAACACCCACGTGACTGCAAGCGTAATGTAAAAAATGTAGACGTTCAAACTGATATTGACATTGATAGAAGAAAAAGAAAGCTTGACAACAGCATTCAGCAGGAATAAATAGATATGGATATAATATTGAATATAAATTGAATGATAAATCGATATACCTCATTCACTTATAATGTTTCTAGTTTTATGTCATTGAATTCTTTTTACGCACAGTTTAAGCTTCAAGCTATCGATTAAGGAAAAACAAATTAGACAAAAATAAGAAAAGTTTATGAGTGTTTGGGTGGGTTGTAGCAATGATAATTTTCGTTGACATAGTTCTATTGCAAATCTTACTCATTTCATTCATTAGACGTAAATCAGGATGATTATTTTTGTTACTATATTATGTAAGTTCCACTTTACGAGGATTTGTGCTTTAAGAAGCTAACTGATAAACTAATTGATATCTTCTAATAATGGCGTTAAAAAGTATTTTCCAGTATTTTTCTAATGCTCCTAAGCATTAGATTTAGTTTTTTTTGTGTCATGTTCACCATCAAGTTCACTTGAAAATAAATAGAAAATTGAAGCCAAAACTAAGGTAATAAAGTATTGATTTTCAAATAGCCATAACGTGAATCAGTGCTGAAGGAGACAATCGTTTAAAGAACAGACAAAAAAGTTTTCTATTTTTGCCAACTACTTACTAATGATGGTGGCTATAAAACTCGGTTGTATGTGGTTGAATTATTTTTTGGTACAGAAAATTTTACATCTACATACAAATAAAGAACAACCAAGTAATTGTTTTGAAATAAATGGCCTTTTGAACTAATTATTATATTACTTATAAGATTTTTTTGGCAGTGTTTAGCTACGAAAATAAAATGAGTCATAACGAGATTTTCATATAAGTTTCAAAAAAAAAAATTATTCCTTCCACAGTGAGGTTGACAATTCGCATAGAATATAAAAAGAAAAAAGAATTTTTGCTTTTACAAGGCCTTTAAGCACTTTAAGGAACAGACAAAAAATATATAAAAGGTTGGAATGAGAGAAGGAGTAAGGAAATGAGAGAAAAAAAAACTTTTGTAATTTTCTCGTTGTCTTTAACAATGTTCTTTCAACATCATATCAGCAGCGTCTGTACTTGGAAATCCTTCATATATTGCAACATTTTAGCCATGCAAAGTGATGAATAATGTGGTGAAAGGGAATTTTTCTTAAATTATCACGGTAATCATATTTAACATTTATATTTAACTTCCAAATTTTCAGACGGAGAAGACATTAATACTTAAAACACTGTTGTACATGGTACTTTAGTTGAAGAAAAGATTACAAATTCAGAAAATTCTTTTTACCACATCATCATGACGTAAATTGAAATTCTCTTTAGATTTAAATGGTCTTCTTCTCTTGCCTTCTTTTACCCCCTAGTGATTATCATGATGAGGCTTCCTTCCTTCTTTTATGTGCATAATTCTTTAAGTAAAAAATGAAGGAATATTTTACCCTGATTTCTCTCACAGATTAAGAATTATTTTTTATCTAAAGAACTGCATGCATATATGAACAAAAGATTGGTAAATGTGAATGCGATATGAATGAAATTTATACCGCCATAGATTGTATCATGTAAAAAAGCAGGAAGGATTTCCTTATTCTTGAAGTATTCTCAGCTTAATGACTTTGATTGAAAATTTAAGATTTTGGCTAAAGAAAACACTGAGACCAAGATTTGCTTGATATGTGATCAAAATTTCATCGAATATAAAACGAACAAAAATCAACATATAGAATTGTAAATAGGTTACAGTATTTTAGCAAAATTATGTGTAATTTTTTAAAGGCAGTTTTTTAAGCCTGAAAAGATTTTTGCATACTTTGCCCATTTTTACCTTTATGAAAAATTCAAATTGTTTAACATTTTTTTTCTGTATTTCAACAGTGCTTTATTAGGTTGTTGTGAATTTTTTTACAATGTTCCCTTGATATTGAAAATTAGTCATCAAGGATTTCAAATTTTTTTGGAGATACTGTTATTTAACTTCTGCACATTCTGAAAAATTAAATCTTTCAAAATCTTTAAATTATCTGTTTCCCAACTATTATTAAAGCTCATAAATATTATAATGTTATAAGCTCGATATGACGCTATCTTATTTAAGCAGATTTACCGTATTTATGAATGTAGAAAACCAATGATGCCAATTTTGTTATAATTAATAATTTATCTAGAATAAAATACATGGATTTATAATTGATTATCTTTTTACGTGAGTATGTTAATAACATCTGTTATGCTTTGATCATCATTTAAATATATTATTTATCAATAATCTTCAAATCATATTAAATTTTATAATAAATAAGGCTGATACTCAAATAGTTTCTTTGAAAAAGATTCTAAATTTTTTTTTTCACTTCTTCCTTAAGTTTTGTTTCTCGTGCTTATTTTACTCTCCTTATCAAATCATACGAACAATTTTCTTTACACTGGTAAAGTAGGAAAAGATTGAAGAAAAAAATTAACATATTCAAACTGACGTGTAAACATAACATTGTGGAGACAGCAGGTGCAATTTGTGACATGTGTCGAGATGCGAAAGTAACGTAAAAATCACCCATAAATATATTGAAATTGTAAAGAAATCTGACAACAGGAACGTGAAAATGAACATTTAAACTTTATTTAAAACCCTTACGTGTTCAATAAACAATAAGTAGAAACGACGTTATGTTTTCAGGGGTTTTTTTTTAACCTATGATGTCAATTATATTATGAGGACATACTGAATAGACAAAAAAGACACATAAAATCGAAACTTTTCCCT